CGACTTCTTCGCAAGAACCACTGGGCCAATTTTGACCAAACTTGGTACAAAGCATTCTTGGGTAAAGGGAAATTAACATTCTTAAAATGAAAGGCCAAGTCCCCTCAAAAGGGGAAATAATCAAGAAAAGACAGAAATAGGGTTGGGTCATTAGAAAATATTCTTCTCAAGAACCACTGGGCCAATAAGGCTGAAACTTATATGGAGACACCCTGTGGTAGTGTAAATTCTAAATTGTTTAAATCATGACCCCCGGGGTGGGCGGGGCCACAATGGGGAATGAAACTTTTACAGGGAAATATATAGGAAAAAAATCTTTGAAAATCTTCTTCTCAAGAACCACTGGGCCAGAAAAGCTGAAACTGTTGTGAAAGCACCCTAGGGTAATGTAGATTCTAAATTGTTCAAATCATGACTCCCGGGGGTAGGGCGGAGCCACAATGGGGCATCAATGTTTTACATAGAAATATATAGGAAAAATCATTGAAAATCTTCTTTTCAAGAACCACTGGGCCAGAAAAGCTGAAACTGATGTGGGAGCATCCTGAGGTAGTGTAGATTCTAAATTGTTCAAATAATGACCCCCGAGGGTAGGGCAGGGCCACAATGGGGAATCAAAATTTTGCATAGAAATATATAGGAAAAATCTTTGAAAATCTTCTTCTCAAGAATCACTGGGCCAGAAAAGCTGCAAGTCATGTGGAAGCATTGTGGGGGTAGTGTAGAATCTAAATTGTTCAAATCATGACCCCCGGGGTAGCTTAGGCGGGGCCACAATGGGGCATCTATATTTTACATAGAAATATATAGGAAAAAATCTTTGTAAATCTTCTTCTAAAGAACCACTTGGCCAGAAAAGGTAAAACTGATGTAGAAGCACCCTGGGGTAGTGTAGAATCTAAATTGTTCAAATCATGAACCCCGGGGGTAGGGTGGGGCCAACAATGGGGCGTCAATATTTTAGATAGAAATATATAGGAAAAATCTTTGAAAATCTTCTTCTCAAGAACCATTGGGCCGGAAAAGCTGAAACTGATGTGGAAGCACCCTGGGGTAGTGTAGATTCTAAATTGTTCAAATCATGACCCCCGGGGGTAGGACGGGGTCACAATATGTATTACAAGGGGGAAATCTGGTAAATAACAATATGACAAAAGATTCTCAGGGAAGCGATGTGGCCCATGGGCCTCTTGTTTTTCGAGTGTTAGCTCTAGAGTCGCTAATTAATGAGTCTTATATAAAAGCCATTTCTCTTCTCAATGAAAATTAATAATCAAAGTAACAGTTTTAAAAAGTAAATCAAATTTTAATTTAAGAGTTTATGGAAAGATCTTGTTTCAGGTTATACATGTACATACATTGAATATTAAAGCCATTTTTCTTTTTAAACGTTATGGCATATTAATGTAATGTAAATCAAACTTCATGATTAGGGTTGCGGCGTTAAAATAGATATTTGAAAAGGTCTTGTCACAGGAAATGCACATGTGAAGTCCTATCTCTTATCATTCAAAAGTTATGACCAAGGTTGCAGTTTTTTGTGATAGACGGACGGCTAGACAGTTTGACAGACGGAAATGCCGTCTTGTTTAATGGAATATTTTAATCCTTTATATTTCACGTAAAATGGTAGGATTCAACGAGCCTTGCAATTCAAAAGGCAATTAGAATGGTTTCATGTAATAATAGATTCAAATGTCCTTGACTATGCAAGTAATAATGTAATATGAAACCCCTAAATAAATATAGGATGCCCTTGCAGTGCAAAGTCATTGTTAAGGGAATTATCATAAAACGTTTCTAGACTGTCTCCATATAAAGACCCAAAAATCGTTTGTTGTCTTTTAAAAGTTTTGCTTTTCCCAATGAGTATCCATTTTTCACCCACCCTGTTTACAGGTACATTTACGCAAGCAAAATTCTATATTCTATTTTAAGAGTTATTGTCAAGACTTTTAGATGACTCAAGCATATGCGAAAAGGTAATCTGGCATAAATCCGCATTGTGTTGTGATAAACATGTCAGTGGAATCGACTTTCAGCGGAAAAAAAAACCCGAAATATTTTATAAAGAATTTGCCTCGCGGTTCATAGAGTGTTAACTGCCACAACCCTGGTTATACATAAATGAATATAACATGGATAGCTATTCAATTCATTGCAATTTTAATTTTATATTTACGCAACATTCACGAAGCAAAACAAACCTCTGCATGTTTGCATATTTTTATTACCGAAGACTTTGATGACTTTCAACTAGAATTATCGTACGAGGTGTTATCAAATAGTTCGTGGACTGTGGCAATAAATTTCATTCAATTTAGTAGGTGATTAAAAACAGATACACATAGTAACAAAAGCTTAAGATATCCAGTGCTGCCGTCGTTGTGGTTCATAACGCTTGGCATTATTTCTCAATGCCCGTTCATTCTTCGAACACTTTCCACAATTATTCCCAAGAGCTTATTAATCAAAAGACTTATCAATATTAGTAGTCAATACACTACAACACTGATAAGTGTTTTCAGTGTATCATATTATTAAAATTATATCTATACAAATAGAAAAATATCCAATTGATTATGCATATGGCTTCATAATTTACTTGTTACTGACTTTGAACACCCTTACTACAAATCAGAATTCAGTATGCGGTCCTTCTTTCTGCATTTTGTCAATTATTTTAAAAACATATACTTAGATCCGCAAGCATTTTTATGCAACCTGTTTTAACATTTCCTAGGTCTATGTAAGTTTCTCCCGGGATAAGATTTTATATATTAAGATATATAGGAAAATAATATCCCTTCCCTTTTCTGGTGCCTTTTTTAATCCCCTGTACACTCCATGAATTCCAATCCCTGTACACTGCACTCGATATTCTCACAAAGCAAAGTACAAGCGGTTCATTAATGATATTATTCCCTTTTTGTTGGCAATTTTTTAAGCAGAATATGAAGAAATGGAGCGAGCAATTAATTATTTTTTCTATTTTTACTGACCTGCAGAGTAAGCAGATTTTAAATGCAAAACATATAGCAGAAATACCGTAGAGGCAGAATTTTTAGCAAGCAACTCATTCTGGCATTATAAAGGAGGGTTTTCAGATCGCTAAAATTGAATATCGCAAAAATCAGTTGCTTTTTAGTTTGTAATTGCTTCTTATTTGAGCATTTTAAAATCGGTAATATTTCTTCTCGCTAAATATTAAATACCAAATTCTAAGGACAAATAGCAAAATTTGCTTCTCGCTAAAATATATACTTATACGGTATTTATAAGGGAATTTTCCAGGTGCGGGAAATCTAAATTAATATAAATAATTTATATTTTTAGATTTGTTGAAATACGAGCGTGCAGGTCCTACGAGCAAAAAATAGATTTGTTTTGCTAATAATATTTTTAAAGAACAAAGCATACTTCCTTTGTTCCTTTTTTCGAGACAGTGACGTCAGCTCAGTCGGTCAATCTAGAGCGTTCGTTCCGTGTTCGGTAGGTCATAGGTCATATGTCATAGGTCGATAAAAGAATAGGTATATACTGTTCCCAACTGTGACATTCTTTCGGCAGTTTGAATTGATTGTTGCGGATCCTTCGGATGAGACAGTAAAAATAGGCATCGTGTAATAGTAAATGTTGGCATCATAAAGCTCCCTCACTGCTCAATGGTATAAAGAGCGACATAAGGGTTAAAATTGTAAGATCATCACTGGTGTAACCGTGAAAACTGTCGCTAGTGCTCAGTGTCGCTCTTAATAGAATATATAGGGAAAAGAGCGACACTGACCACTGGCTTCTGCGCATGCCTAGGGATTTCGGTCGCTTCAAATCGAAGCGGTGTCCAACTGAATTTAATTCCATGGTAATAGTATCCAAAGTCGTAGATTTTCATGTTTTCTTTGTTTATTTTAATCTTAGACATTCAATGTTTTTCAACATTATCAATTAATTTATTGAAAACTTGCATGATGCTGTTTATAAAGACAATATTTTGATACTGGTAAATTTGAAGAAGATATTATGTAAAAATAGAGCATACATATAAGTGTCACAATTGAAAATAATTCACAAGTAACTATGGTACACATAAAGTTATCTCACGAGAAATTGTATAATTCAATTGTTACAAAAACAAAATCAACAGAATGATTCCAAAGGGTCCCAAAATAAATTATGTCAAATTAAGGGAAATTGAACTGATAGTGTTAGATATTTCATCACAATATTTTATCTTTAACTTTTTATCTTTAACCTCTTGATATGACATTGGCCTTTACAGTACGTTAAACATCTTGTTATATATGTGTCCAAATATCAGCCCTCTACTATATATGGAACATAAGTTACACTGCATTTTGTAACAGACTAACAGTCTGTACTGCATTTATACAGCATTAAGCCATTATAAAATGTAAGCTACCAAGTGACCAATACATGTATATAGAATTCTCTGATATTTCCCCCACAAAATATGGTGTCGTCACTATATGGGTGAAAATTTATCGAATGGGAAGTACAACAACATAAAATCAATAATTTTTTTCTTTAAAAGTGAAGATTGCGAAATTTAATAGTGAAGTTACAGATGACTTAGTAACAAGCGGACCTTTCCTTCAGCCAGTCTTCTTTCCTCCAACGTCTTTGTTCTCATTTCATCAAGAAAAATGATGCAATATTATAGTTTTTATCATTTTTATCTTTAAATTACGAGTATTTTAAATCATTTTCAATTCGTCAATACATGAAACCTGCTAATCTTCTTCAAAATCTAAGCATTTCTTCTTTACTTCTTAACAATCGCCTATCAAGGAGCATAATTTTTTCTCATCTGAAGACAAATTTAGAATAAACCTAATTTGATATGAGAAAACACTAGAATAAGGAAACAGATATAATGATAAAAATCAACTTAAAGTCCTATAATGTATTGCGTAGATGCACAGAGATGACAGACACCTGAGCCTTTTGAATAGAAAACACTGTAAAATGTCCGATAGAATTTCATTTTCCCATTGATATCGATGTCAATAAAGGGGCGTAATGTACATGGTGTATATAAAGACACTGCATTACAAGTGAAAATTGTTATACTTGGAATTACAAATTCTCGGAAAAAATACTTTCTGATTCAGGTAGGAAGCTTCAATTTACAAAATGCAGATTGTCTCTTATGTGTAGAATTTTTCTGAATGAAAAAATAAATACATTTTGAAATAAATGCAGATGTAAAGCCACTATACACGTACATGTATTATCGCTTGATGCATGAAAGCAGTATTTGAAATTTATTTTTGTTTCCTTTTATAACCATTATTAAATTAACATCTTCTAATCTAAGTTTTTTGACATGTGCCCAATTCCCTTTACTTATTCAAATTAATCGAAATTAAATATGTTCAAACGAGATATTCCAATAGAATAGTTTAATCAAAATGAGCTGCACAGATTTTTTCTTGAAAAATTATGATTAGTTATTCTAATAATAGAAAATAAGAATATTTTAAAACTTCTGTTGCTCATATTTGTGATAGAAGAACAATTTATGTGCTTAAATTGCAGTAAAATTTTATCATTGTCGTGATGTACAATATGTATTTCCTACATTGTTCAGAAATCATTTTGCTGAAACAATCTGGTACTTTTTTTAGTTTAAATCAACAAAAGGTTTTAAAAACATACAAAGTTTTTCTTAACGGCACATTTTAACAGCAAATAAATTATCAAAAATGTATTATAAAATCCGATCTTATTTAAGAATATATTTAAGTTGGAAACGGAAGACCTTCTACTGATTCTGTTGTAAAGATTATATTCTTTTTTTTCTTCTACTTCCTAGACGCCAACTTTGAGGCCTCATATCTCACTCATTTATCAACGGATTTCGCTCAAATTTTCATACATTATAGACATTATTAAATTCTACAGAGTGGTATCTAACATTTCAAAATTCAGTTGCGCTTTTGAGTTATTTGCTTTTAAACGAAAATTTATAGGCTTTCGTTTCCGGATAAAGGCTCAGAGACCACAAAAACTGGAGCAGAATTTTTACTGATTTTAGGTAACAGAAGGATTGAAATTGTGCACATCGGTTTTTGTTTTCCGATTTCTGCATTCACAATGGCGCTATATAGGGGTAAAAAAATTAGAACGCCTAAAAGAGCGAAAATTTACACATATTTTCCTTTTTATCTTGAAAACTAAAAATAATTTGTTAAGACATAATGAACAAAAGTTGTGCATAATTGCAAGGGCTTTCATATAATAATATTCAAAAGGGGCTGGCTCCTATAGTTAGGGATCAAGGGGCCTTGAAATTTTTTGCTTTATAACTCAAAAACGGTAAATATTTCGAAATGACTATCGATTATAAAGGTGTGCTTTAACATCTTACTGATCTCATGAAATTATTATTGTGTTCGAGTCTTGTTTTAAATAAGCTGGTGCATGACCTATATATATGAACAGGTAATTCTTTTCACTCAAAAGATCAGCACGTAAACGAGAGCTCCTCATGCGTGTAACCAAAACAAGCTTACTATAAATAATAAACATGGCTACATTGGATGCTAATATTCTTCAGAATAAAGTTCCCGAAGTGTTTGTGCTTTTTTTCTAACAAATAATCATGTTTATTCACTGACAACTTTCCCTTTTATTTCATTTTTTTTTTTTATAAAATCGTATAAACCAAATCTACTAAAAAGGGAAGAAAATATCATCTTTTCTTCTTATCACATAAAAGCAAACAATATATTGAGAAAATAAAACATAACTAAAGAGCACATACATGTATACTATTCACAGCCATTAAGTGCACGGCTTTAACATTCACCTTGTTTGTTTACAATTATATAACGCGCCTTGTAGCAACCTCTAATGATGAAACGCCGCTTAATGATACAAATAGCATTAAGCGTTGCAATTTCAACGCTTAATGCCATAAATTATTGCATTTATAGCTGACATCATCAACCGCTAATGCTAAATCGCCGCTTAATGACAGAATTATATCATTATAATTCTGTGGCGTCGGTAGTCTAGTGGTTAAGGTGCCGGACTCCAAACCGAAAGGTTGTGAGTTCGAATCCTGGCCGCGGAAAGTCGACGATGTGTCCTTGGGAAAGGCACTTTACACGAATTTCCTCACTCCACCCAAGTGTAAAAGGGGTACCTGGCTATAGACAGTGAAAGATATTGTCAGAATGTTAGTGTTCTAGCGCTGATTACGGCAGCTTGCACTGAGAAAGATTCTGGATTGTTAAGGTCTGCTGGGGTAATAATGATTTTAAAGCGCTTTGAGTAGCATTTATGCTAGAAAAGCGCTATATAAATCCAATCATTAATCATTATTAATCATTATTAAGCGTCACAAATGCAGTGCAACACCGACGCTTAATGAAGCAAGCAAATATCGACATATTCGACGCTTAATGATACACACTGGTGTATCATTAAGCAGTGCAGTTGCAACCCTTAATGATATAAAATTTAGAAATCGCTTGTAATATCTAAGAGAAACACACATCCACCTTTCCTGAACAATGAGATATCACTTGTCAAAATATTTATATATGCCCTTGTGCTATATGGGTACAGTCCACTAATTGTTTTCCAATAGGCGACAATGTTAACGTTTCTTCTCATAGCGATGTCCCTAATTTATGTTCAGTAGTGAGTGACCCCTCAAATCAAAGCACATTAACTTGACTTTCCTTGGTTAAAATCTCGAGGTGGTATATTAGATTCGTTTTCCGGCAAAATGCGTCTGTCTGCGGGAACCTCTAAAAATGAAAGTGAAAGTAGGGGAATTCCAGAATTCTCACTGGCGTTATAATACACAAAATAATTCAGCTGATCTTCTTGATAAATATCATTTTCAAAGCTTTTTTGGTAGGAAAGATACTCCTTATCAACAAGTGTGAGGCGCAGTTCAGTACATCTGCCCAACTTTTTTATGCAAGTCTGCAAATTAAGGAACTTGTAATTTTTTCTGCACTACTTTCTTCTCCTACCGATTCTAAAATTAATTAGTGGGCTGTACCCATATAAATAGTAATTATTGAAGTTTTACTGTGTTTTCTATCTAGTCAAGGGAACGTCTCAAACCCCGGATGTTTAAGAATTAGCTGGAAGAAAGAGATACAAACAAAGGGATAAATAAAATGATATTCAAATCCTTTAAAAGAACCATTTTTTAAAAATGAAAATACAGAGGCAAATAAGCAATTCAATTCCTTTAAAATTTATACACTGATTTGAATAGTCAACGTGAAATTATATGTTTTTAGATTTGATACAGCTTAAAGTAAGTCACTCATCGGCTTTTTAGTAAAGTTCACGCAGAACCTCTTACTTAAAAAATATTTTTTTAAAATTCAATTTTTATAAAATATCTATATTCAACAATATAAATTTTTAAACATTCATCGAAAAAACTGCTTAAAAATCAACAAAGAAGCAAGATTTATGAGGAACAATTTCTTGTAGTGGAAGGATATTCAGCGGAAATTTCTACAATTCTGCACATTTATTAAATTAAATGTCTTGAAACTTTAGTCTCACATTTTACTCGGAGAATATTTATCACTTTGATATTGTAGGAGTATTTAATATAGGTCTTAATATATATTTTTAGAACAAGTTTTAAACCTTCCCTCAACAAACTTTGCCAAAAAATAAAGATATATTAAAGAAGTCAAGATAAAATTTACAAAATTTTTTGCCTGAAAATCACATTTTTTGACCAATATTTCAAAATTTACATCACTGACCCCAACTTTTTCTTTCATTATTTGAAACTACTCAATACTGAATGACTACTCAATGACTGATCAGCACTTAACTCCTAAAAAGCTTGATATAAGAACATATTTTATTGCCTATTTAATTTTTTATACCCCAAATATGTTATTTTTTAGTGCAAAAAGGTCACACAATAATAAACGCGCTTTAATTTGCAAGATTTGTTCAATGATAAATATTATTTAAACTTTTTTTATGTAAAATAAGATTAAGTTTATTAATGTAGTAACATCTGATAAAATAAAATAAGGGATAAAGTAATGAATCAAAGAGTTAAAATTTAAGTGCAAAAAGGTCAATTTAATTGTACCATAGATCAGTAAGATGTACACTGACCCAATATTATCTCTGAGATTTTGAGTCATACTATATGAGTACTGATCCAAAATATACTTCCCAAAAAATCATTGATTTAACAAAGGATGAGGTGACTTGCGGCCCCCGGTAAATTGACAAAAAATTAAATGTCCGAATTATACTCAAATTTTTGTATGTAACTAATCACTGATATGTATACCTATATGAAATACCATTTTTAAACAAAATAGAAAACGCAATTTGAAAGATATAGACCTTTTATTTGGGTAGGGGTATCATGTTTACAATTAATTCCTATTGAAGTTTGACCCCGCCCCACTCTTTGAAGCCCATAAAATATACGAGCGCAGGTAGGTACAATTTTCTCCTTTGGCTGGTCACTGTATTTTATTGAAATCTACCTATATGTGAAAGGAGAAAATTGTACCTAACTGCGCTTACATGCTATTTTAAAAAAAATATAAAATCTCGCTGGCCTTTTCCATTATGAACAGATCGACGGAACAAGATTTTCTGGCGTAAGAATAAATTCATATGCTAATCGAGGCACTGGCGATACTTTCTAACTGACCAATCAGCGGAATGAAGTTCGTTACGAGTGAGTACCACAAAAATACTATGGAAACATGCTTGGAATTTTACTGCTTTCCGATAATGTTTTAATGCATTTGAGTCACAGATTAGACACGGATTTACATATGTACAATTTCCAAGATTACAGTAAATTAAATTCATATACAATTACAAACAATTGATAAATATACATTAGTTTAAAGTTTTTGTAGCGTGTTTAGTGAGCAATTCGCTAGGTCTACACGTATTCTCGAGTATCAGTGGATACAACTTTCATGTGCATTTCTTGTCCTAAAACCGTAAATGCTGAAAATCCATGCGTTTTATTAAGTATAAACAGCCGTGGCTGACCATTATAAACGTTTGGAATGTAGAAAACTATAAAGGTAAATAGACCTAAACCACGTGTCTTTGATAAAATGTAAACGTAGTAAACCAG